ATGACTTGATACCGGCATTAGTGGGGGCTACGTCATGCCGCTGCTCAAGCCTGCCGGCGGCGGCTGCTGCACCTCAACCGTCGGTCCGTTCGGCACACGCAACCAGCTAAACTCTTCGACTTGGTGTCAACGAGGCGGGCGACTACATACTGGAGGCGTTCATTCACGAGAATCCCCCGGGAGGGCGACCGTTGCGGGCGATTCGAGCGACTTAATGGTCGATCAGGTGCCCGACCAGCTGGCCTTCCGCCAGGAGCCTGCCTCTGGCGTAGCTGGGCAGCCCTTCGCCGACATGCCCATCGTCTCTGTCCGCGACTCCTCCGGCGACCGGCGAGTGCGCACCTACACGGGAGACATCCACCTCTTCTTCACCGGCCAGCGGGTTGTTCCGTCACGGGCATCACCACATAGACCGCTGTCAAGGGAGAGGATGGCTCAGTTCCCATCTCTTGTGGTCGATACGTCGGGCAGCGGAGCGGCGCGACATCGGCATCGGGAGGAATGTGGAGCGACCCATAGAGGACTACCGCAGCACCATCAGTCCACACCCGAACAAGGCGGATCGTCCATCCACACCGAGGCTGCACTTCGTCCATCTCAGCCACTAGCACCCACCACCGGCAACAGTGACCTCCTGGAGGGGCTGAAGTCGTTCGGCCATCGGCCAGCCCGCAGCGTCTGTGCCCTCTCCGGCCGACGAGAAGCACCCCACCCACCACCCACCGCCACCACGAGAAGAGGCCCCCGCGCCCCCATATATGTAGACAGACGGGGGAGGATGGCCATTTTTTGTTAGTTAATTAGTGTATTCTATTGTATTGCTTTTGAGTCAGCAGCCCTACCCGTTGCCTTTTCTTCTCCTTTCTCCTTTTCTTTCTGTCTCTCCGTAGGGTGGTGACACTGTTTTCTCGTTTCTGTCCCTCCGTAGGGTGGTGACACTGTTTTCTCCTTTTCTTTTTGTCCCTCCGTATGGTGGTGACACTGCTTTGTCCTTTTCTTTTTGTCCCTCGGTATGGTGTGGACACTCCCTTTTCGTCTGTGTTGATTACGTCTTGTCGGTGTGCGTGGGTGCGGTGTGTCGCTGTCTATTCCCCGTCTGTCTACATTGTCGTTGGCGGTGGTGGTGGTGGTGCTTGTCGGGGGCGGGAGGTCGGCTGATGGTGGGTGGATGGATGGATGGATGGGTGAGTGGCGGGGAGGGCCTGGGTGAGTGCGGCTGGGTGCAGTGCGTGAGATGTGTGTGTGCATCCTTGTCGACGACTTACCTCACGCAGCAGCAGCCCGGCGACGCAGGCCGTACAAGGAAGAGGGGGGCGAGTGAGCTGCGTGAGGAGGGGGTGGATGGCGGGGAGGGGAAATGGTGTGCTAGCACGCACGCCATCATGTCTGAGTGTCGGTCGGTGTAGACATTGATTGGCATTTTCTGGTGGGTACTTTCTGGTTGCGTGACTGACTTATTTGTGAATGACTTTTCATGCAATTCTCCCGTCTTTGTTTTCCCCCCTAACCTGACCTGACCCGACCTGACGCGTTGTAGCCAGGCGACCGAGAGAGGAGAACACTTTCTCCTGTTTCTGTGCACCAGCCAGATGTTTTCATGTGTAGACAGACACACACAGACACACACACCATACACTTACTTCGGACGGCTACATGCCATGCACTAGCGACACTCATCCCACTCACTCACCGGTGACACACACTCACACACCACCGACCTTACCTGAATGCAGTGTGTGTGTTTATGGTGGGTGGATATAAGTGAGCAGGTGACCTCACTGACTGACTGACAGACAGCAGTGACTTGGTCGCGCCTCGCGGATGACATTGTGCGTGCCATCGTCAAGCCATGACGATCGCTGTACAGTACTCGGCATCGCTCTCCCTTTCCCATCCCGACCGTCGGCGGCAGCCATTTGAGTATTGGCGTGACAACTTGGCTCTCTGTATGTTTGTGTTCTTGGCCACCTCATGTGTGTGTGTGTGTGTGTGGTCCTTCATTTTCATAGCTGCCGCTGACAGCGCAATGTCCGCTCTGTACAACGCGCTCGATAGTCACAGTCACTTGTTTGCAGTGATGCGCCGTGCCTGCCATACTTGCTGAGCCCCTCCAGCAGTACCACCCACTACTTATGCACCTGACCGATTGACTGACACAGGTGTTTTGTTTTCCTTTGCTCTCTGCCCTGCCTGCACTCATGCATTCGTTAACGTTTGGCAAGCCACTCATTGCATTCCTACACTCGATGCAATCAATGGTGGAGGCGGACCTCAGTGAACTTGTGAAGGAATGCAATTAAAAGATGAAGACTCCGAGAAGCACCAACCGCGACATTCACACACTCCTTAATGGGCACGGCGCCCGGCCGCCTGCGGTCTTCTTTCGAGCGCCCTGAATGAAATCGGTGTTTTCTCCTTTCTGCTCGCCCAACGGCCAACGGTCACGGGCGTACGCCGTGTGCTCAAGAGTAGAGGCCGCCCTTCATGCCAACAGTCGTCCCACCCCGCCCCTGCCCCAGCAGCGGCAGTAGCTGCAGCTGCAGCGGCGCCGACCCCTACCTCAAGAGGTGCCCGGGCGCCCAGGCACTCTAACGAGCAGCCAGCCAGAGGAGCCGTGAAGGTCTGTCGATGATTGAGGCGCTGCAGCAGTTGTTATCGGCTCACACGAGTGGTGACGAGCGGGACAAGCGCGGGGAGGAGGGGCGCCATGGCAGCGGCAGAGGCCACCCCCGACATCGACGACATGTCGATGGACGAGCTAGACAACAGCCCCAACGAGAGCACCGCCAGCTTACCCAACAAGCGCAGGAGGACGACGAGTGACCGACAGAGGGATCGAGGAGTGAGGGTGTGGGCAGAGAGGCCGCCCTCTGTGGGAGTATGGGTGTAGAAATAGATAGAAGGATGACAGACACTGTTGTCGGGACGGTGGTGGTGGTGGATTGCTGCATCGCATCGGTCATATGATGAGAGGGTTGGCTGGGTGGTCTATCCTAGCGCATCTCTCTGAGAGGCTTACGGTGTGTGTATGGCCGACTGCACACAGAGTGCATGGATGAATTGATGGATGAATGGATGGGTGCGTGCGCTCGTGTGCGAGCGGGGAAGGAACGTATGACTGACTGACTGACTGACGGTCGATTGGATGATTGGATGGATGAAGCCTCGTGCATCGATTGATGGGATGCGTGCCGTTGGTTTGCCGACATTGACATGAGATGACTGACATGTGCACAATCCCACTTAGACAGGTAGATACCCATCCGTTCAACACACTACCCATCACGCCGACATGCCGCCCGTCTGTCCGTCTGTCTGCCGGCCGTGTGCCCTCTGCTTCCAGAGACAGAGAGACAGAGAGAGGGTCGGCTGGGCTACTGAGTAGCAGAAAGCGAGCAGGACTAATAAACACACATTTTGCCCGCCCAAAGGTGACATTTTGCCCACACAGACACACAGACGCAGGACACGTCGCAGGACTGCAGGCACGCCGCGTTTGAACACATCCATCCGTCCATCCATCGACGAGGCAGCCATGCGGCAAACGCACCAATGCACCCTCCCTCTATGCACACACACAGACAGACAGCTATACAGACGCGCACACAGACGGATAGGATGTGAGTGCTACGGCACGGTGCTTTTGTGTCACGACTGGCTCGACTCGACACACAGCCTGAACACACACACACGCACTCGTATTGCGAGGGCGACGGATGCAGTGCTCCGCCTCACCCTCTAAGAGAGACGCCTTGCAGTCACCTCAATCCACAATCCGAGGTCCCGTGTGTCGATGGTGAAGCTGGGGCCGATCATCGTGCCCTTCTTCTTGGCCTGTTGCACCTTCGCTAACGACGACTTGGTGGGTTGAAGGTAGTGGAGCTTCTCCTTCTTGGCTTGACCGGGGCCGATGATCGTGCCGGTGGGAAGCAGCTTGCGAACGGCGACGCGAACGGAGTCGCGAACGAACCGGACGCATTTCACGTGCACTGAGAAACTCTCCAGGCCTCGCACGGCACCGACAACGGATGAGATGCCCTCGCGGATGGTCTCAGCAGCAGCAGAGGGATACAGCTCATCGAGCCCTGAGGAACACCACATACACACGGCGATGATGCACACGTAAGCTGAACCACCCTCCGTGTGTGTGCGTACCCCACAAGTGGTGTATCTCTACGCTGTGAATCGAGGGGAAGCTGTCCGACGTCCAGCCGTCGAAGGGGCCGTCCGTGAGACTGACCCCCTCCGCCCATTCACCGACGCTGACGGTGCCCACCTGCCTCCCCTTGCCCAGCCCCTCCAACACGACCCGTCGGTCCTGTGCGCTCACAGCGCTCCCGAACTCCACATTCCTCAACTCAGTGGGCATCTTCTGGGCCAGCAGCCGACCCGCTTCACCGCCCAGCCGGCTGCGAATCTCCAGCAATCCCACGGAATTTGGGAACTGCTGCAGGTGGTTTATGATGGTGGGATGGGGCAATGGGGTGTCGGGAGGGGGGACGAAGCCAGGGGCATCAACGACCGCCACGAAGCGCACACCGTCAAATGTGAGGCTCTCGGCGATGCCGATGGCGGCCTTACTGGGGCTGTCGACTGGGTGGGTGAGGTCATGCTCGCTGATGACGTACTTCACCCTGTTCGTCTGCCGTGCGAGTTGTTGCATCATCGTCTTGAAGAGGGGCGAGGGGTTGGCGGGAAGGTCGTCGCTGTAGAAGAGCGACAGGTCGACACTGGCGACACGTCTGGGGACACGTGTGGGGACATTTTGGGCCTCGAAGACGACTGGGGCGTCGGCTCGGCAGCACGTCTTGTGTAGCGACTCGAGGGACTGCATGACGGGAAGGACACTGCTGTTGATGACGTTGAGGCCCTCCACGACCAGCTGAGTGAGCGACCGGCGGCAGCCACGCGACGCTAGTGCCACCTATACACAGGAAGATGGCATCCAAACTGACCTATATTGCACCAACGGCATCCATTGCTGCTTACGTACCTGCAGTCTGGCGATCGCTCCACGGGCCGCCTCAGGACTGTCGTGCAGCTCGATGGTGCCGATACTCTGCAGACGTGCAAGTGGCCCCCTCTGCCCAGCAGTGGCCTCGGGCATGCCCTCAAACACACTGGCCCAGCCATCATCCGACAGACTCCCGCCGACGTGCTGCAGCGACCGTGACGAGCTGATGAAGTGGATCAACTGGTCCGCCCCCCAGCCCTGCTGCTCCACGCGCTCTAGTGACGGCACCCTCCACCCTCTGTCGGCCAGGACATCAAGATCTTCGACGGCTCCTGTAACAACCTTGAGCGACGGGAGGGTGGGGGGCTCGGCGAGGCGATCAGGGAGACGGGGACGCTGCGGCCGCAGGTCGAGAAGCTCCGCCCGACTCAGCCGCACCTTCTCGAATGCGATGGTCTCCAGCCGACTGGCGTCTGCGTGTCCATCGGGCCGGGCGCGCGGGGCGGCTGTGGTCTCAATGACAGAGACCAACACGTCGCTGCACCACACGGGGTGGTTCTCAGGGGTGGGGCTGCGCACGCGGCGGTACTCGGGGTGGCAGAGGGTGATCTCGGTGAGGCCGGTGAGCCGTGCCGCTACGCGCTCGACGGAGGGAAGGGGGATGCGCTGCCAAAACCTGCGGCCCTCGGTCGGCGAATGCCAGTACTGGTGGTCAGCTTTGGCTGCGCAGTCGATGAAGAGCCGTGTGTGGCTGATTGCCGCCTCTTCCCACAGCAGCTTGGCGCTGTTGGGCCGCCGCAGGGGGAGAGGGACGAGGATGTGGAGCGGCAGGAAGGGCGTCACCAACATGAGCACCTGCACAACACACAGGCAGCGGCAGAGCGGTGAGTGTGTCTGTCTGTCACTCATTGCCTCTGGTCGGTCTCACCGTTTCTCCATCGGTCGCAGCTACACTGTCCTCGTCCTCCTCCCCACCACCACCAGCACCAGCACTACCACCAGCAGCACCAGCTGAGGCCGCCAAACCACGGCTCTGCCCCTGAGAAACCGGCAGCAACAGGCGATGGCACAATCACCCCTTTGAGCTGCCTCACCTGTGTGTCCCTCTCAGACATGATTTCTATGCGATGATCGGCTCTAAGTCGTCGGAAACATCTCGCAAGCTACGCCCACTGCAGCCATTCACGCCATCCATCCATCCATCCATCCGTGTGCGGTTACATACCTGTGGCAGATGAAGCTGCTCCTCGGCGCCACTGACTCAAACACCGCTGACAACAAAGCAACAAACAACAGACACAGCAGACACACGGAGAGAGGAGATGGATGATGAATGCATCATCGTTGTCCATCTGCTTGGCGCACCAGCGTCCCAGGGAACTCACGCTGCTGTGGGAAGGCGAAAACGCCGAGAAAGGGGCAAGCTCAGGAACGGAAAGCTCGCAAGCGGAAGCGGAGGAAAAAGAGGAGACCACGACCGTTGACTGACTGCTACAGCCGAGTTTGTTGGCCAGATTAACTCATATTTCATCGAAGAGGCGGCCGCATCTCTCACAGCTCGAAGATCTGGAGGCGGCAAGGCAGCCGATGACGACGACATCGCACGAGCAGTGAGGCGGCAGACAAGGGATGACTGGCTGGCAGCGGCTCGTTGAGAAGAGGGAGAGATCCCGGATCCCTCCTGGGCATCGCAGCCATTGCAGGTGACTGAGTCGACGGAGGGAGGGAGGGGCCTCTCCTTTCCCATGCATGTGCGACGCTGGCTGTGTGTGTGGTGTCCATTCCCTCAGTGTCCGGGGCTCCTACGAAGGCGGGAGGGCGGGCTTGTGGTGGTCTTGTGATGATCTGAACTTCAAGCTGCTCAGATATATCCACGCGCTCGTCCGTGTACCATAGCGGTAAGGTGTTCGCCAAAGAGGCCGACAACGAATCGAAGGCCTGTCTGGTCGATCGACTCGTTGTAGGTCTCTTTCGCGAGCACCTGGACCGCAACCACGGGAGGGGTCCGCATAGGAGTGTGCGTGTGTTGGGGAGCGATGTGCGACTTGTCTGGCTGTTCTTCTGTGTTGTCGATAGGTGTTAGTGGTGAGAGAGAGAGAGATGGGTGGTCGATGGGGCTCCTCGCCTGTCAGACCTTCAACAAATCGACGGCATGTCTGGACGGTCCAGATACGCCTCCGATTTTGTGTTGGTGACTGCCATGTGACGACCCTCACCCCCCCGAGAGTCGGTGTTGTGTGTATGGTCGTGTGTGGAAGGGTTTCTTCCGGGGGGATGTCTGTCCGCCAATGAGTGTGCGTGCCCCCTCCATACGAAGAGCTGAACGACACCGCCGCCCCCATCTTCGCGCGAAGATGGGGGCGGCGGCTTCGTGCAGCTGTTCGTGCGGAAGAAGAACGCTGCTGTGCATTGGCCGTGGGATGTGTCTGACAGAGTGAGTGTTTTTGTCGTTGTCGATACGTGATCGGTGCATTGCGTGTTTGCTTGTGGCGGAATTACTTAAACAAATGAACTACCCGATTAAGGTGACTGGTCTCCCTCGTCGACTGACCTCTCTCGCACACCCACGTACACATACGCACAGACAGGGCACGACTTAACCCACGAGCGAAAGACTGCATCAATGCAGCACACACAGCCGCCCGCAAACCTATAGCTAGGCAGCAACGCCACAAAGAAATAGACGACTATGGGGCGAGTCGATCGGGGTAGGGGGAAGCAGTGGCGGCGCCTGACTGACTCTTACTGACTGCTGCATGTCTCCGTGGTTTGCGTGGCTCGCGTGGCTCAACGATCGACTGATGGATCGACTGATGGATCGACTGATTGATTACCTCTTACTCCTTCGTGTGTGCATTGTCCTCGTCAAGTGCCTGGCTCTCATACTCTCATACTCACGCACATATCCTCTTCACGCACGTCTTCCCTATCAAAGTTCTATCGCGTCGCCGTGACCTCTCTCTGAAAATCATCAATCGCCAGCGCGTCGCACGTACATAAAGGGGCACGAAAAGAGGCGCGGCATTTGCGAAACACGACACGGCACACTCTCACAGCGGTAAAGTCACAAAGGAAAGGCACACATGGGAGAAAGAGGGGGCACTTCATAAAGCGGCTCACACCATGGACACACACGCACACAGACACACGCCCCGCCCCCGCTGATTTGTTCAGGTCTCCCCGGTGCCGCCCTCCTGCGTCTGGTCGTCCATCTTGGCCTGTATCTGTGCCAGCACAGCGCCGCCCTCCTGCTGGTCGATCATGGTCTTGGCAGAGCCGGGAAACCTCATGAGATTGTCGCCCGTGAACCGGGGCACCACATGGAAATGGGCATGCATCACCACTGCATCAACCACACAAGGACAGACAGACATACGCAGCACATGTGTGTCTGTGGCTGAGAAGTTACCCTGCCCTGCAGAGGGGAGGTTGTTTTGGAACACATTCACGCCATCCGCATTGGTGGCCGCCATGACGGCCTGCGTCATGACACACACACACACCGATGCCAATCGATGTGGATTATCTATGTATGGGTCTTGACGGCTGGTGCGCACCGCACCTTGCAGAGTCTGGGGAGTTCCTTGAGCACGTTGGCAGCCGTGTCGGGCTGCAGATCCATCAAAGTGACGACCTCTGCCTTCGGTATCAGTAAAGAATGACCGCGGACCTGCACACAGAAACAAACACGCGCACCATGGTTGGGCCGATCTGATCCACGTGTCCGCACACAGTGCTGTGCTGTGCTGTTCACTGATAGATACCATTGGAAATGCATCGAGTATGGCAATGCAGTGATCCGTCTGGCCATACACAGACACAGAGGTGAGCAAGCACATGGATCCGCCACCATTCTTCCCTGCCTGTCTGTCTGCGTGTGTGTGTCAGTTGCCTGTCACACACCTCAAATATCTTGAAGCATGGTACCGCTCCTTCAATGATCTGACCAAACCGAACCAAGCAGACCCCCGTGAGCTCTGCACGTGCGCAACGCCATGATGTGTGTCCTCTTGAGGACGTACCTTCTTGAAGATGTTTTCCTGGTCATACGCCATGCTCACCCCCGTCCTTGGCCGACTCCAACTCCAGATTCGTCCAGGGATGCCTCCGCGGCCCAAACCTGCCTCTCCAGGGGTGTGCCTTGCGCTGCTCGTGCTGCTCGTGACTCGCCTGATCCCCCGCAACCTCAGAAACGCCGACGGGAGGCGGTGGGGTGTCGCAAGGAGATGTTGGCTTGCCAGGCGACGCAGAGGGGCGTGGATCTTGCCTCTGCCAGTTGAACAGGCCGCAGAAGAATGTTCGGAGAGGGTGAGGAGCGGGAGCAGCGAGATCAGGAAGGGCAGAGAGGATCGCATGCGACCGGGGAGCCTCCCTGCGGTGCACCTGAAGCGCTGGCCAACGGAGGGAGAAGGCACGCTTCGAAATCATCCCAGATCTCCACGCTGAGCGAGCATGTCGGGCGATCGCGCCCCATTGCAGTGTAGTGTCATCGCTAACGGAACGTTAACGCCACCCCCCCTTCTCTCTCGTGGATCGCGCTTGTTGGCGCTGCCAACTGCGAGGTCCGCAAACTGCCGCCGTGGAGTTCACTCAGTCCATCACACAGCCGTCCATACGACCCAGGGGTGAAGAAGCAGTGTTCTGTACACACACACACGCACCCACCCACACAAGCAATCAGATCAGCTGGGCGCCAGGATGACTTAAAAGACTATACGACGTCACTCAGGCGGCCCAGCCACTGCCCAGCCAGGCAGCAATCGCATCAGTGCCATCTCTCAAGCGACAGATGCACTTGTGTGTGTTGAAAAGTCATTGATCGGTCAAAACACCGCCATTCTGTCAGTCTAGCTCGACTGTCATCTTGACGGGCCCTTGGGCAACGGGCAAGTCGCTGCGATTGGCAGCAACCATTGCAGCCTCGCTTTCCTGACCATGGTCATCCTCCATTGAGCCGCCAGCAGCCACGGGTAGCCTGCAGCCACCACACAGACACGAAAAGAATGGCTCACGTGTGGGTGTACAGTGGATTTGCCGCACCTGGCTCGGTTTGCGTCGATCTCCTGTTGCGTGAGAACGATATCCCGCCAATCCAGCCCCTTGCTGCTCTTCTCAATGTCGACTCTGACGTACTTCTGCGCGTTGCTGAGCAGGTCCTTCCCCGGGCCGTAGTCGATAGTCCAGAACCAGCTGTCCCGCTCGACGCCTACGCGGACCCTGTCGTCGATGATGGTCTGGTTGTTGACTGCCAGACGCATGTGGCTGTGCAGCTGGTTCTTCCGCACGACGGACAGGTCCACATCGAGGTTGCGGTTGAAGTGGTTGACGGAGTCGTCGATCGGCACATAGATGGACACCTGCAGACAGACAGACAGACAGACAGACGGACAGACGGACAGACGGACAGACCGTCCTCTGCGTGTGTCGGGTGTTGGGATTCTGTGCGCGCACCTGATCATATGTCTGCTGCCACATGTACTTGTCGGTCTTTCCCCTTATGAACTTGCCGCTGCCTGCCAGGTGCGGGAAGTCGAACGGGATGGTCTCTCCCCTCCGCCATGTGGGGTCGTACTCCCCTTTGCTGATGAGGTCCTTCTTGTTCTTCTGGTCCTTGAGCAGCGCCTCCAGCTCCGACTCCTCCGTGAAGTCGTCGATGATGTCCGCATCCGTGAACGGACGCGTGTCTGCAAAATTCACCTGCACACACAAAGACAGAAAAGGAGGATGGCGTGGCGTGTCAAGACGATTTTACCACTTCCCTCCTCTCTGTTGCCTGTCAAGTGGCTGACTGACCTCCATGGTCGTCTGTGCCTCTGAAGTGGCCTTCTCCTGCTCCCCTCTGGGCGGTGGGAGGGGCACGAACTCAAAGGCCTCGTTCTTGGCCAGCGTCAGCATGTACTCCAGCTCCAGCTCCTCCTCGTCAGTCAGCACACGCTCCGGATTGTCCTCTGTGTCGGCGTCTGCGTCGGTCTCAGGATGATGCTCGTCGAGAGGCGGGGCGACTTTGCCATCTGCCGCCAGGCTGGCCAAGTCGGCAAGATCGGTATCGAGGGGGACGTCCTGCCGCCTTTCCTCTTCGCTGGAGAGCTTCAGGCCCTGCTGATCCATCCACTGTTTCCACAAGGGGGGATTCTCCTCTGCATGGCATGCACACAGACACACACGTGAGCGGTGTGCGTGTGCGTTCGCGTGTCACTCTCTTCTTTCTCTCCCCTGACTGACTGACCGATGTGGTGGAGCATCCGATCGACGACGTCGACCACCCCGTCGTAAGGGTTCCAGGGGCTGCTGATACGCACCCTCACATCCGCTTCCATACAGTAAGGCTCCACCTCGTCATGTCGGGCCGCGATGGCCTTGACGGGGTCGCTCTCCTGCAGCAGCGGGTGATTGAGGAACATCCCAAACCGCGCGAGGTACTGGCCCCTGTCTTTGGGATTGCAGTTGGCGGCCGTGATGCGCATCGACTCGGCAGAGAGGGAAGGGTCGACGTCGAGCCACAAGACCAGGCCTGTCTGGAGCTCGCGCCAGTTCTGGGGGATGGTGGGGGTCACCTCGGTTGTGACAATCACCTGAAAGACAGAGGCAGACAGTGACCAGCATGTGAGATGGGTATGGTGTGTGCTGTATTGCATGTGTGGAGGTACCTGTTTGTAGAGTCGCTGGAGGTCGTTGAGCGCCTTGTTCTCCTGCTCGAGGTACCTGTCGAGGCCGTACCTCTTCTTGTACTCGTTCAGACCCATCGCATACTCAGCCTCGATGCCGCGAGCAACCACCTGCACCCACCGTTCAGCACACATCCACACATGGACGCATCTGGCCGCCCTCGCCCCGCTCATCTTATCTGACCTCCTCGAGATCAAAAAACCCAAACATGAGGTGCTTGGCCAGCACCCGACCCACAAAGTGCTTCAGCCCCCACGGCACACCCAGCACATACAGATTGGCGCTCTTGAGCGTCTTGGCCAGCTCGCGGAACCGGCGGCGAGCCGAGGGCGTCAGCGGCACCTCCTCAGACAAGCTGCTGAAGTCAAGGATGTCGGAACCTCCCTCTCCTTCTGCATCAGCCACCATGGCCATGGTGGCCTCCCCCGCCCGTGCCCTGTCGGCATCACCGGCCGACGTGCTCCAGCCGTCGTACTCGAGGTAGCGCTGCAGCGGGTCATCGTTGGGGTCGCTCTCATCGGACGGGCCATAGATTTCCTCATCCAGATCATCTCTGAACAACTCGCGGATCTCATCGTCCTCAGACTTCTTCGGATCGTTGACACGAGGGTCCTCACCGCCGCGTTGTTGTTGCAACGATGACGACGGTCGTACCCTCAACCTCATCTGCTTGTGCTGCTGCCGTAGCCGAGATAGACAACTCCACCGTGGCAATAATGGATCATTCGATCTTCTCAGATCTGACGATGGCGGCCTCCAGCTCGACTCAAGATGGCCGCCCCTGAAGCTCCGTGGCTGCAGCAGAAAGGCTGACACGCAGGGCAACAGGCACGCGAGCAGTGGAAGGCGGAAAGGGGAGGGCGAGGGAGGGGGGCATCCTGCAGCATGACAGCGACGGTTTGGCCTCGGCGGCGGTGACGACGGCAGTGATTCTGGCTGCATTTGGCAAGCGCCCAGTCCGCTAAGCTCGCATTTCGTTTCCCGCCAAAGCTCGCAGGGGAGAGAGAAGAAACGACAGAAACGAAGACAGCACCAGCTTTGTTTGAGGCACTCGCCCTTGTCTGATATCTGATTGACCTGCTGTGCTTCGGTTGTGTGGAATTGTGAGTGGCTGAAGATTCGTCATGGATACGCTGCCCGGCTCCACCACCCACTACGTGCCCTTCCTGACCGGCAAAGACAGCCGGGGTCGGCACACCCTCGCCCTCGTCCGCAAGGCCCTCATCCCCGCCCTCGCCGCTCTCACAGCCGTCAGCTGTCTGGCCTTTTTCTTCTACCCCTCTGCACCACCTGCACAGGAGTCGCTCATCAACACTGAGCTCTACGAGAGGCCGTCGCGGCACTTCTTCACCGAGAGGCAGTTCTCCGATGCGTTCGTCACCTTCGTGACGGAGCACGGGAAGGTGTACGCCAACGAGAAGGAGAGGCAGATCCGCTTCGACATTTTCAAGAAGAACCTGGCCTTCATTCACGCCCACAACCAACAGGGTACAAAGAGGGAGGGTAGTGAGCCGTGGCAGGCAAGACACCGACCGACCGAGTGAAGTGTGTGTGTCTTGTGGTGCTTTCAGGTTTCAGGTACACGTTGGCAGCCAACCAGTTCGCCGACATGACACACGAGGAGTTCAAGGCGCAGTTTGTGGGGTACAGGAGAACCAACGTCACGAAGACGGTGAGTGAGTCTCAGTGAGCACACAAACCATACATATGCTCTAAGTATGTGTATCCTGGAAATATCATCGTCACTTGTGTCAGGATGCGACGCACCTGCTGGGCGTGCACCCGTCGACGCTGCCCAAGGACGTCGACTGGCGGGCGAAGGGATGCGTCACCGAAGTCAAGAACCAGGCGCAATGGTACACACATACACACACACACACAGAGGGAGACGAAGGCTCTCAACGTCTCGTTAACCGCACAGCCACAGCCAATGCTCTTCTGTCTGTCTGTATGTGTCAGCGGTTCTTGCTGGGCCTTCTCGACCACGGGTGCGATTGAGGGTGCGACGTGTGCCAAGACAGGCCGTCTGCCCGACCTCAGTGAGCAGCAGCTGGTGGACTGCGCGGGCATCGAGGGCAACCAGGGCTGCTCGGGCGGCGAGATGGACCAGGCCTTCCAGTACGTCATCGATAACAAAGGTACTGTTGTCGATATCCACGGGCGGAGAGTGCTCGTGATGGACGCTTGTGTGTGTGTGTGTGTGTGTGTGTAGGGTTGTGTTCTGAGATGGAGTATCCATACGAGGCTACTGACGACAAGTGCAAGGCAGACAGCTGCAAACCACAAGCTACCATCAAGGGCTTCAAGGTGAGTCAGCCAACACACCACACCACACTACACCACACCACACAATGACACAGCAAGGTCATGTTGCGTGTGTGTGTGTGTGTGCAGAACGTGCCAATGGACAACGAAGCCGCACTGATGGCTGCCGTGGCGACCAACGGGCCCGTCAGCGTCGCCATCGAAGCCGACCAGCTCCCCTTCCAGTTCTACCAATCAGGTACGTACCTGCCACACACACACACGGGCATCCATCCGCCCACCCATTCGTCCACCCATCTGTGTGCCCATGTGTGTATCTCAGGTGTGTTTGACGCGTCCTGCGGCGACCAGCTCGACCACGGCGTGCTGGTGGTGGGCTACGGCACTGACGAGCAGGGGCAGGACTACTGGATCGTCAAGAACAGGTGCGTGGGGACTGGACTGGACAAGATTGATGGACAAGACGCATACACACACACTGCTCATACTTGCATATGTCTGTGGCTGTCTGTGTTGTCTGTGTGTTGCTTCAGCTGGGGTCCATCATGGGGCGATGACGGCTACATCAGAATGGCCAGACACAGGGGCAAAGAGGTACGCAGCGCAGACGCAGGGGTCAATCACAACACCATACCTAACCCACACCACAAAGCACACGTGAGTCCATTTCCTTGATGTGGGCGTGGCGTGTGTTTGCTTGCGTGCAGGGCGAGTGCGGCATCCTGATGGACGCCAGCTACCCTGTGGTCTAACGAAGGAAGCATAGCATGGATGCGTAAACCATACACCCTATCCCGCCCCCCACACCCCTTCCCTCCCGATCGCTATCTCTCTGCCTGGCCGTCGTGAGTGCGTGTGTGTGGGGGAGGGAGGGGGGGTCATGATCATCGCTCGCTCCTTGAGTGACTTTCTTGCTGCTGGCGCTGCTGCTATTTGTCGGCCTGGCTGGGGAGGTTGGGGTGGGGCTGGAGGATGAAATGAATGCTTTTGATTGAAAGGGTGGATGGGGTCGGGACGGTCGGTGTGGGAATGAAGAGTGAGTGAGTTTCGTGACCTCGCTTGTCTATCTGGGTTCGGGGGCGACGGTGTTTGAACCACCAACGAATGGATGGATGGATGGATGTTTGAACCATCAACGAATGGATGGATGGATGGATGGATGGATGGAGGGAGGGGTGGGGTATGGGTGTGGGAGGGGGAGGCTTCTTCCTGGTTGTGTCCTTCTCTCGTTCTCTCTCCCTGTTGCTCTCTCTCTCTCTCTATGTCTGTCTGTCTGTCTGTCTGTCGGGCGCACACTTGATAGAAATCACTGTGTGTATCTGATGTGAGGTGCAGGTGGGCGGCGAGCGAGGCTCCCTCGTCTGCTGCACGACTGCATGGCCCGACCGACTAACCCACTCATTCACTGATTGACTGACATGGGAGAGGGGTGCGCTCACTTGGCTCCGCTCACTTGGCTTCACTTGGCTTGGCTTGACTTAGCGCTAGCTGCTGTGCATATCGATCTGTCTGATGCCTGTCCGTGCCTGTGTGGATGGATCTCTTGCCTGCCTGCCAATCGGATGATAGATGCGCGGCTGTTAATTGGCGGTTTCTGCTATCGCCTTAAACCACTGGCTTACTCACTGGCTGGCTGCCTGGATGCCTGCATGCCCTGCGTGTGTGTGGTGTGTGAAGTGTGCGTGAAGTGTGTGTGCCAGAGCGCGTTGGCACAGCGTGCGTGGCGTGGCGTGGCCTCAGTCTGCCTATCTGCATGTGTACCATATTCCCATACCCATTTTGCCTTATCCAGCCGCACCGACACCGACACCAACCTGAATGGAATGGAATGGATTGAATCGTGTCGGTATCCAGCCACCCACAGGGACGGACACCGACAGCGCTCACATCGATGCAGAGAGACAGACAGACTGACAGTGACAGTGACTGAGTGAGTGTTGTAACTGTTTTTGATCCATCCAAACAGGCGGACTCTGGGCAGTTTTTGGCCGACATCTCTACTCTGCTTCCCTTCCTTCCCTTCCTACACCAGCAGCCGCCGTCACCCAGTACTGATCTGGTCATCCCGTCAGCACCGGGCGGCACACCAGGCTGCGGCAGCAGACAGAAGCGCTGGCGTCGAGCCAAAACGGCAACGCACGGACGAATCGGTTGTCTCGGCGCGACTTTCCGGTCCTTGATGAAAAAACGGACACCCTGCATGATGGCCTCCATTGTGCTGTCAGTCTGACACGTCGCGTGATGCTGTGTCCGTGGCCGTTCGGCGAGAGGATGCACGGGATTCTCTCTCTTGTCTGTCATCACACGACAGAGAGAGAATCCCGTGCATCCACTCGCCGTCCACGCGAGGCGGGCAGGAGACATGGTGTCACGTCCGCCACACACACATACAGACACGCAGACAGACCTCTTTTTTTTTCTTGCGGCACTGGTGTGCGTCCATGCTCTCTGTGCGCAATGCTTAAGTGCCAACACCCACATACTTACGCAAGCCCGTACATCATCGACACAGATACACATTAATTACATTCACGGAATGGCTGTCTGTGGAATCAATCGACTGACTGCCTGGAGAATGGAGAGAGGGGGAGAGGGGGGTCGGGCTCGTGGTGCCGTCTCGTGTCTGTGCTTTTGCAGGATATTTAGAGAGACCACTCTGGCGGGAGGGCAGCATCCATGCCATGAGCCCAGCGCGACCCTCGCTCTCTACCTGCTGTGGATGCTTTCCGTGTGTGTGTGTGTGTGAGTGTGCGGATGGCTGGTGGCTGTGTGCTCTTGCCTGTATGGTCACCTGTTGTGTGGACTCCTGTAGCATACACTCCCGTCACTCACAAGACGTCACATTATTTCAGATCGTGATCTCATCACCACGCTCTTCCCTTCCTTTGAGGACGCAACGGTCTGCCCTTCTGCAAGTGACTGGAGATCTCTCACCTCCGATGAATCAAATCCTGTCGGGAGCGGTGAATCACTATCAACACTGTCATGCAGCTCATGCCGCATCCATCAGCCGTGCAGCATCGGCCCTCAACAGACTCGTCACTCTCGCACAGGAGCAATCCCGGGACGATGAGGCCGACAGCAACGCAGATCTCGCAACGCTGCTCTCTTCCCTCTCTGCATCGGTGGCTCACCTCAGCACCAACACTAATGAAGACCCTGCTGCTGTCCGCGGCCCTCTGATCCGCTGCTTATGGGCGCTTGCGAGGCTGCAAGGGAGCTCACTGATGCCGTCGAGAGATGAGTGGGCGCCGCGCGTGATTCCCCTGACCGCAGCCATTGTCGAGCGCCTGCAGTCAACTGCTGAGGTGTCATCAGCATCATGGGACGGTCGTGACGTCGCCAATCTGGTGTGGTCAATGGGTCGGGTGGCGCAGTGGGGACGGCTTGACAGTGCAGTGAAGTCATGGGCCATCGAGCGGGCGGCGGACGCCTGCCGGCAGTCATTGTCACCGTCACTGAATATGAAGCCTCTGGACGTGTCCAACGTGATGGTCGGCATTGCGAAGCTCTCACCCTCTGCACCCGGCGATGCCGACCGCCTGGACGGCCTGTACTCGTCCCTGTCGGCGTTTGTGCCTCGGATGTGTGCTGATGACGTCTTCAACGAGGTGCAGCTGACGGATCTGGCGTGGAGCCTGGCGCGGCTGCAGGCGTGTGTGTGTGGAGGGGAGGGTGGGCGAGAGGTGTGCGAGGCCGTCATGGCGGCGTGCGAGCGGCGCCTTGGCGAGTTCGGGACCAAAAGACTGGTGACGCTTATGTGGTGAGATGACAGACACACTGAGGGGATGCACGAAGCCACCTGTCGTTAGGTTTTCTTCCACCGTCAATCGTCAGGTCGTTCGCCCACAGCCAGCACCCCGTCCCAGCCTCGCTCATCGCGGCCCTGCAAGCCGCTGCAAACCGGCATGCGCCATCCATGGCGCCCCGCAGCCTCTCCAACGCTCTGTGGGCCATGGCCAGACTCGTTGACGCGTCAATATCGCCCCCGTCTCCCTCAGCTATCGCTGAATGGCTTGAAGGGATGTTTCCGGACGATTCAGCTTGTTCGAGAGTGGGCAATTTGCAAGACAGAGCCAACACGATGTGGGCGTTGGGGGCCCTCGGCAGCAAGGTGGGGGAAACGCGGCTGGCGCAGCTCAAAGCCGGCAGTATGGGCCGTGTGTGCGACGAGATTGCTGCGGCGAGTGCGGGAAACCTGCACACGTTCAACCACCAGATGATGCTCAACTTGCTGTGGGGCTATGCATCGCTGGGGTACGCTTACAGACATGATGGTGACGATGCGGTCTCCCGTCTGTATGTGGAGGGTGCTGGCGAGGCGACGATGCGCATCAGGGGGGAGAGAAATGAGTGCAGGGCGAGAGGGAGGGGCTGGGGCGACCCCAACAGCAAAGACAACGTGACCATGGTGTGGACGCTCGCTAAGGCCGGGTAGACAGACACGAAGGAGGCGAGGCAAGCAAGACGGCTGCAGTGGTGTCCCGCTGTGTGGTGTTGTGGATTGATGGGTTGCAGGCTGGTTCATGAGGAGTACTTAGACGCGCTCGAGGCCTTCCTGATGGCACCCGATCCGCACAAGAATGCAGCCACGCGGCTGGAGGGATATGACACCAAAGTGAGATATATATATATAGTGATATCTATATATAGAGAGAGAGAGAGCGACCCGGAGCTGTTTGTTGTGGGTTTCTCTCTGTTCTCTCTTCCGTTGATCAGTCACTAGTGGGCCTCGCGACGGGATGTGTCCGAATGCGGCAGCAGGGTGCGCCAGCCCCCCACCCACTTGTCGATGCACTGGCCACGTACGCACACAAACCAAGCCCACACAGACACAGACACCCTCTTGGACGCTCTTTTGCACAGTGTGCTGCTGCCGCGCGTGGCCGCCACGCACCCGACGGACCTGTCCAAGCTCGTCGGCACCTACGGCCCCCTCCCACCCACACACCGCACGGAGGCGCTCCTGTCGGGCATTGCACAGCACCTGCTGGAGAAGCACGGCGACGTGCTGCCGAGGTGCAACGCCTTCGATCTGGTGACATTGCCGTCGGCATATGTGCGTGCGTCATACGGGGAGGCGGTCATGATGGAGAGAGAGAGTGAAGATGAGCAGGTATGGCACGGGGGCGTTGCCGTGTATGTGTACGTCGTCGGTGTATGTGTGTCTTTGTTGTCAGGACGGGTTGAGCGTGGGCGGTTTTCGTCTGGTGGCGTCGCAGCTGCTGTGTGCTGTGGATGAGCACATCCTCAATGAGAGGTCCCTCGACGAGTTTGACCCTATGGACATATCCACACTCGGTACACACACACACACACACAGCGCCCACCACAACACTCCGTGTGTGTGTGTTGTTCTATCGGCCAGCATGGACGCACAGCGCGCTCAACGTGAGCAACCCTTCTCTATTCACCGAGCTCACCAGCTGGATTACCCCCCACCTCCCCTGCCTCCCCCCGACAGACCTCGCCATCCTTCTCCACTCATTCGCCGCCCTCTCATTCAGCAGCCCCACATTCTTCGCCCGCACCGCCGAGCTGCTCCACACACATATCACGCAACACCGGGCTGCACTGCCCGTGCACAAGCTGGTGGGCGTGGCGTGGTCCGTGGCCGCGAGCGAATGTGAGGCGCCGATGCTGCTCGACCGAATTGAGGAGATTGTGCTCGGTGGCGATGGTGACGGGGATGGCCGTGTGGTGGATTCGCTTGACGGGTCGTCTGTCTCGCGGCTGGCGTGGGCGTATGGGCGGGCTGGCCGGCTGAGTGAGGATTTGTGGAAGGCCCTTAAAGATAACGTGATGCGCCGAGCCGGGCCAGTACTGGAGAGTGGGACAAATGTCACCACGCGGCACTACACAGCAAGCAGCCCCCCGATCTCATCCTCACTCTCTTCTGTACAACCCCTGACCGACTCGTCGCTGTGTGGGTGTCCTGCCCTTGTCGATATGACGGGTGAAGAAGAGCGGAGGGCAAAGGATGTGCCTAGAATCTTGTACGAGTCGCCTGAGTGCTGGGTGGTCTACAAGCCGCCGCACTGGTCGGTGCTGCCGTCGGGGCTCATGAGAAATATTGACAGTGGGAGAGAGGGAGAGGGGATGGACCAGCCGAAGGAGATGGTGGCGAGCAGTGACATACAGCCGCTGCATGTGTTCCTCGGTACCGACACAGGCAGACAGACAGAGGGAGAATGAGACCATGGAAATGGGTGCATTTCATTGCTGTCTGTCAGGTCATGTGTGGGGGTCATCATGTGACGTGTTGCTGGATGGGAGGTATCAGCACGGCATTGCCCATCGGCTGGATAGCGAGACCTCAGGCGCACTGCTCGTGGCCAAGTCGCCAGCCATGTGGATGTATCTGCGGCTGCTCTTCGATGCGCAACAGGCAAGTGGATCAATGCACTCAACACATCGCGTGCACATGTGCGTGGGTGTGGTGTGAGTAGGTGGGGAAGGAGTACGTGTGCCTGACCCATGGCCGTGTTCCTCCCGGCATTCAATGGGCCACGGAGCGACTCAAAGTCAGCCAGTCAGTCAGTCCAAGAAGAGAGAATTCGCACATTGCGTGCATTCCGTTTTGTTCACCCAGACCGAGCAAGGGCCCGACCACCTGATCACGTCTGTGCGAGGTGGGCCCACACCAGAGACACACACAGATCGGTGCACAGAGGGTCCGTGTGTGTACCCATCCGTCCATCAGACGACGGCCGCGTTGCCGCTACCGAGTTCGAGTGTCTGGGCCACTTCCATCGGCAGCCGTCAGAGAATGATGCCCAAGGCAGCCCAGAGGGTGATGGGGCGGTCGACACTATGAGCCTGGTGCGCGTAAAGCTCCACACGGGCCGCACGCACCAAATCAGAGTCCATCTGGCACACAAAGGTAGGCCATCTATCTCACACGGAGGCAGGCACCCACCATGGACGAGGCACACCTTTGAACGCATGCAGGCTTCCCATTGGTGGGTGACGCGAAATATGGCCGCAAGGACAATGGACAGACAGGTGCGGGAAAACACCACACCACACCACGCCAAGCCGCGCCACGCACAAGTTTATGTATGCTGACTGTGCGTTCAGGCGACCGTGTGTGGTGTCCGAGGATGTTTCTGCACTTCCACAGTCTGCGATTCAGAGACACACAGGTCAGCCTGCGGACATTCACGCGGTCACCCACACGATCATACATGGGTGTGTCGCATGCATCTGCAGGACCGGCGTGTGGAGGTGACCTGTCCGCTGCCCGACGACCTGAGGGAGGTGCTGCGGACTCTCACACCTGTGCAATGAATGAATGTGGATAGAGACATGCACCTGTGTGTGGGCTGCTGACAGGGGTGTCCCAATTTGCCGCATCCATCCATCCAGTGTCATGGGGGGTGCTGTTGTGTGGTGTTGCTTTCCTGGTGGCTCGTTCGTTGGGTGAATGAGTATTGGTGAATGGCAAGACAAAGAAGTAAATGGGACGTCTCAGATATGTCAGTGGATCTTCCGATGTCGATGTACATGCGCATGCGTCCGTCCTCCCGTGCGTTAGTCAAAAAAGAAGAGGCTCCATCCATCCATCCATCCGTCCATCCATCCATCGACACGAATGCGCATGTCTGTACAGATAGACAGGCAGGCAGGCAGACAGCCAGCCGGCCGATGGTTTGAAACTCACACGGTGGTGCCGTCACATACATTCATACAATATGAGCAAAAGCAGCAGAATGAAAGAGACGGACAGACAGACAGACAGACAGACAGACACCCAGCTGGGCGGGCGGACATGAGCCACTCTCTCAACCGCCTCAGGGTCCGCCAACCCAAGTTGAGAAGTGATCATGCGCCATCCTTTCGACATACTCTAGGTTGTGTGGCGGGTTGCGAGCGTTGGCCAGCTCCCTGGCTGCGGCTCTCATGGCCGGCTCGTCCTTAAACATCTTGGTCTCGGCCGCCTGATGAATGAACCCATCCAAACATACATGCATACACTTTGTGTCATTGATCAGTTGTGTTTGTGCATTGCAGCTTACGCAGCATTTCTTGGGTGTGTATGCGTCCTTCTTGCGGCATTTGCACGTCTTCATGCGGTATTTCTTGTAGCCCTCTAGGCCGTCATCCTGCGGCAGTCTGATGGCGCACACGTCGTCCACCATGAGGTACTCGCAGTCACGGTAGTACGCGACGATCGGGTCATCCATCCAGTCGTTGCACTTCTCTGCACAACATCCTCACTCGCGCAGCCAGCGCAGTCGGTTGGTCGCTCACTTACCGCACTTTTGCTCGCCCATGATGTCCATCATCTGGTCGATGGCCTTGCGCGACTGGCTCCCCCTGTATGGCTGCTCGGGCGGTAGTAGGCAGCCTCTCCGCACAAGGCAAACTTTAACCGCTTTGAGTGAAGGGTCAAATCGGGTGTATATACCAGGGGTCCATTCGACAAAGTCGAGAATCTCGACGTGCAGGCCCCCAAATGGCAGTTGACCCACATACATAAAATTGCAGAGAAGCAGCCCACCCAGATGATCAAAAGCAAATGTGAACCGCCCATGTGAGAGCCTCTCACACACCAAGCAGCAGCTCCTCGCTCGGTCACGTTC